GGGGGGGGGGGGAAGGCATGTCCTGCACAGCGCGACACGTCACAATATTTTAGCATCGTATTGTGTGTAGAATATTTTATTCATTTCCAGTCTCACATAATACTATAATAACTATACAGTTTCTGCATTGCAACATTTGTCGGCCACTACTTTTGGCCATTATCAGTTAGTACTTATACCTACGCTCTCACTTCTCTCTGCTATTCACCCTCCATTCCATCCTCCTGTCATTTCAACTTTCCTTGGTGTAAATATTCTCCTCAGCATCTTATTCTCAAATACCCTCAGTCTATGTTCATCCCTTAAAGTGACAGACTAGGTTTCACACCCATAGAGAACCACAGGCAAAATTATAGTTTTGTATATTTTAAATTTTATGTTTTTAGGCAGCAGACTAGAAGACAAAAGGTACTGAACTGAATGGTAGCAAGCATTACCCAAGTTCAATCTCCTCTTAATTTCCTCCTGAATCATGTTTTGATTTGTTATAGTTGTTCACAAATATCTTAACTGTTACATACCTTTATGTCATAATTTTGTTCCACGTTTTGGTGACAAGATAGCATAATATACTTAGTTTTCTTTGTGTTTACTTCTAGTCCAACCTCCTTACTAGTGTCAATTAAAGTTTGTGTTTCTCTTTATGGTTATTTATATTGTAACATGGATGGCGCAACAGGAAGTAGGGGTCCGCAAACTCTGCGTTTCCATGAGTGACATCACATACCCCCACTCGTTCCTTCACTACGCAATGCTTGGTAAACATCCATCCCCACTAGGCTGTGACATCATGCAACAGGCGAGTCCATGCAGTGACTGTTGCTAGGCAATCGGTAGGCTGCACCATAGCTCAAGCGGTTAGTCGCTGGCTTCCCACCGTGGCAGCCCGTGTTCAATTCCGGGTCTGGTCAAGTGGGATTTGTGGTGGACAAAGTGGCACTGGGGCAGGTTTTCTCCAAGCACTTCGGTTTCCCCTGCCAATCTTCATTCCACCAATTGCTCCACAATCACCCTCACCTATCATCTGGGGGCAGTACTTGTACAATAGGCCAGAAGTGGCCACAGTACAAGGGACTTAGTCCTACCCCACTAGCAATAAAAAAAATAGGCAATCGGTAAACACGGCAATGGAAGGAGTGGGGCATGTGACATCACTCATGGAAATGCAGAGTTCACATGACCCATACTTCCTGTTGCGCCATCCATGTCACACTATTATCACCCAGTAGATTCACATCATCAGCATAGATAAACTGCTAATGTGTTCCATTTAATTTCAGTCCCACCTGGTTTTCCTGGACATTCCTAATGGCATATTCTAAAGCAAAGTTGAAAAGCAGTGATGATAAAGCATCTCCTTGTTTTAGACCATTCCGGATAGTGAAATTATCAGACAAATGTTTACCTATACGGATCTATAATTGATCTGTTATGTCAAAACCCACACTGATGATCCCATATAATTTCATCTATGTATGGACGTAATCTTGAGAGTAGAATATCAGATAAAATTTTGTATGAAGTTGATAGCAGTGATATCCCCCCAATAATTACTAGTCAGTTTTATCACTCTTCTTACGAACTGGTACAATAATAGACTCCTACTGATCAGACAATTTTTCCTTATGCCAAATAAAGGTAATTAGCTTATGGATCTTAGAACGTAATATTTCGCATCCTCCTTGAATGAGTTCTGCCAGAATTTATGAATGTTGAAATGGTAGGGGAAAAGGGAAGAATATTCTAGCAAATTATTTTGTTACAGTGAATACATAGCTAAAATAAGGGAAAACTTACAACATTCCAACAGAAATTTACACACAATAGATATAATTTTAGTCATCTCCATAACCTCCCTATAATGCTATTTCTCCCTTTCAAGAAACTTGAAAATTTTACTGCAACTAGAGAAATAACACACAGAAAACTGATCAAGTTAGAATTACTGACAAAAAGAAAATAAAACTGGGAGCCTGCTTCTGAAATACTGGATAATTAAAAATGGCTCAAGCAACTTCCTGAAATTTAGAAGTGGTCTATTGTGTCAGTGAGTGAGTTTAAAGGTTATATCAGCATCTACAGCTACATATAGCATGGCTGAGAAGTCACTGTACCCCCACTTAACACACCTTATGGCAAGATTCACCATACATCAGGTGGATCTGTATGTATGCCATTCTGTTCAAAACACAGCCTGATGTGCCACGATGTTTCCTGTAACATGTGTTGAAGTACCTGTGACATAAAGATGGTGAACACCTGTTTCACGGCATTATGCAACTTGTTATTCTTGTGATAGCACTGCATAGCCACTTGTCTACTGATAATGCCCCAAAGAGAGGCACCCAGTGTGGTAAGATCAGGATTATGTGGTCACCAGGACAACAGTGCTGAACCATGGCTAACCCAGCAACTGACATAATGTCCATTAAAAATGTCATGCACAGTGACAGTAAAATTTGCAGGTGCTGCAGCCGCACATCCCTCATGAGCTCTCTGTCTAAGCTGTGGTATTAATCATGCCTCAGCATTTCTGTTTAAGATGTGATGTAAACAAATCCATCAAAGAAATAAGGTGCAATTAAACAGCTTGCAGTCACACCAGCCCACAACATAACATATGGTGGGTTATGTTCCAACTCCACCATGAGATCTGGATCCTCCTTAGCCCAAAACGCAACACTTATGTCATGGAATGGAAGCAGCAGTCAGTAAAGTGTCCATGCATCACAGTGTCGATTTAAGTACAATGTCTTGAGAGTTCATTTGCGAATTTTGGTGACATGGCTTCAAATTCAAGTCTTTCTCCATAAGATCTTCATTACTCACCATGGGACACCAAGATCAGCTGACTGTTTCTGCATCAGTTTCGGTGGGGAATGATCAACAGAGAAGGAAACAGCCGCACATGATCAAGCTTGTTTTCCTTCGTCCGCTCTGTGGTTGATCCTTAATATTTACAAGGGCAGATGCATGTTTTGCTTGGTCTCGCAATGCTGCTTTTCATGGGGGATCTTTGTTAAATCATTCACTGAACACTATCATCACCTGGGCCGTTGTTTGGCCTGTGCATGGTCTCAATCCACCAACATACTTGCTATTAACTGCTCTTAAACTAAATAACAGCTTGTATCAGTCGCAGTCACAACACAACTGACCATCTTTAACTATGTCCTGTGATCATGTGCAACTCACAGTGTTTCTATACACCTCTTTTGAATTTCAAGTATACTACAGGGGACATGGTAAGTTATTTAGGGGTTCAGTGTCTTACTGGCCATCCTGTACACCTGTACAGAAGCAGCTACATTTATAGAGGTGATAAATTATTGGACATTTATTCAGTCTACCAAATTAAATTATATGCTGAGTTATTGCTATGACAGTCATATGACCAATTCACTGCATGCCGAACTCTGACTACAAACATATCATGAAAAGCCAACTTACTCATCTTTCCATATGGTTTATATCTCAAGACAGAAGATGACACTGTCTTCATCTTCTTCACTAGGGGTTCTTTTTCATTCTCAATATTCAGTTCACTTTCTCCAGATGAGTCTGAGCCAGAGTTCCCGGAACACTCTGGAGAGTCTCCATGTTCTGATGTTATATGAGTCAACATATCTGGCTCATCTTCACAGTGGAAGCTACACACTCGGCATGAGTAACCCTGCAAACCAGAAAACGTTGTGAAGTGATGTCTTACATATCACAAAATATGTCCGGTGATCCACAGTCACTGCAAACAAAAGAAATGCTAACAAATGGATAAAACAATGGGCAAAATGACAAATTCAAGTTCACAATGAAAATCAAAGCAGAATAAGCTCAAAAACATGAAGTACCATTTAGTTCAAAATACTTATCCCTCTATAATTTACAAGGAAATTAAAACACAACATATTTATTTTAATTCCTCTTAAATTTATCATAAAACATGGGTGTTACAGGCTGCTGCTGTCCACTACATCCATGTTTCATGCCTGGGATTTTTAGCTTGGTTGCAATTTACTGTTGCACATGCAAATTGTTTTGGTTGACAACCATCCACATTATGTCAAGGGTTATAAAATGTTCTAGGGGCTCAGTTGGATAGCAACTGTCTCAGAATGTGAACTGCACTGCTGATTGGTAATTAAAGGGTAGAATGGTAGGATGACAGTCCATGATCATCCCACTTAATAGAGGTCATCTGATGATTGTGAAATGTCTCCATCATCATTCGACGATGATTCCGAATAACTGGATTCAGGTATAAAACCAATGCCACAATCACTGATAATCATTTTCCTGCAATTTTCTTTTCTGCTAGGGCTCACAAGACCTTTTCACTGGTGTGACTGTATGCTGGTGGAATCACACACAAAACAAAGCACCAGAGATCAGCTGTGACCTTACACAAATGCCTTGTGGGTATATGTGAGCTGATTCATTATCCCAGACAGAAGAATGTAATAAATACATAAAATAAATACAACTCACTAATGTTGTTACAGTTAATCCGGATCAAAATACGAGGGATATTTTGAAAGTAAAGATACAAGTCCAGTAAAAATGCAAGGGATATTTTTTTTTTAAATGGCAGTGTTGCCATGTGAAATAGGAACCAAATGACAGGGCAGAGTTCACTGGCCATGATCACAGCAACGGTGTGCTCGCAGTGTGTGTTTAAAATGGCCATGTTGATTCAAAATCCAGCCAAATGTGAAGTTCATTCAGTAATTCGATTTCTTCACGTGAAAGTATAAAGTGCTCCTGAAATTCATCACCAATTTGTTTCTGTTTATGGTGAAGATGTCACGAACAGGCAAAACATGGTAAAATGGTGTTGTGAACTTGAAGCAGGAGGAAGTGATGTTCCTGATGAAGTTAGGAGTGGAAGGCCATCTGTTGTCACTGATGAAATCCAAAAAATTTATGAAAAATATTCATGCTGTCTGACATTTAACCACTGATGAACTTCATCAACAATGTCAAAAAGCGTCAAGAACTGTTCTCCATGAAAATGTTACAAAAAGGTTGTGTTATTGGAAACTGTGCATGCGCTGGGTGCCAAAAATGTTGACAGGTGATCACTAAAAAAATTGTGTGGCTGTGGCGCAGGCATTCCTCGCGCATTATGAGGATCAAGGTGATGACTCTCAGGACTGTATTGTGATGGGAGTTGAAACTTAGGCATCTCATCACACACTTGAGAATAAGCAACAGCCAATGCAATGGCACCGTACACACTCACCAACAGTGAAAAAATTCAAAACCTCACCATCAAACCGAAAAATCATGGCAACCATCTCCTGGGACAGGAAGGGACCACCTCTTGTCAGTTCTTTGCCTCAAGGAGACACCATCAATGCTGCTGCTTACTGTGAGATTTTGAAGAAAATGTGTCAGGCTATTCAAAACAAGCAGAGAGGAATGCTGACATGAGTCTGCTTAGTGCACAATAACGCCCGTCTGCACACTGCTCGCTCCACGCAGTTGTTGTAGTCCTTCAAGTGGGAAGTATTAGCCCATCCACCAGACCTTGCACCAAGCGACTATCACTTGTTTTCAAAATTGAAGGAAAGTCTGACTGGAAAGACTTTTTCAGACAATGATGAGGTTCAAGATGCAGTGATGACATGGTTAAGAGAGCAGGCGAGAGATTTCTACAATGCTGGAATAAAAAAACTCATTCCCAGGCTCACTAAGTGAACTGCAATCCATGGTGACTATGGTGAAAAGTAAATAAAGGTGTGTTCTAAAGTGCTACAAGTGAATAAAAAAATACTTTATAAATATTTTCTGGACTTTGTATGTTTACTTTTCAAATAACCTTTGTATGAAAAATGCTGTTCACAGATGAGTACATACTTTAAAAGACACATGGCATTTAGGAAGGCAGATGAGTCACCTGGCTGTTCAGACAACACTTGACAGTTTCTTTAAGCCCGCATTATTACGTTCAAAAACAAGTACAACTTCTGAGGCTTTTATTGATAAATAAATGTATTGTCTTTTTATGTATTTTAAATAATAGCTCTACATTGATATTTTTTATTTATTTTCATCAGCACTACTTCATTCATTCATCAGTAATCCCACATCGCAGTACAACAGCCGTTCAAACCACTCTGGTCACGCCTGTTGCTACATGAACTTGAACCATCTTGAGCATCATTTGCTCTGTGCTTCAAGTCGCTGTTGATGACGCTTCTTCTGGCATCAGTTTTTGGTTTTTGGTGTCTCTCTTCATCTGATGCCTACCCTTTAACCTGACCAGCAAGGGAGGCCCTGCCAGTAGCTACGTTACCACTGGTATAGCTCTCAGGGTCCTTGGCATACTCAAACCCCCTCACCATGATAAGGTGGAGAAGACACCAACGAGGGGGCAGCACTACTTATATCACTAAATTTTTTGTCTTTTAGGGCTACCTTTTCCTTCACTAATCCAGACTATCACTTCATCTGGCTAATCTCTCCCTCAAATTAGCGACTGTTTACTGTATACAGGGACAAGAGAAAGAAGAAATATCAGGCAGGTGGTAATACTACAATCTAAATGATATTCCAAGCAACTTCTACTCCTTGGTGAGGTGATCTTTTATGACATTATTGAAGTTATGAGAGGCAAACTGAATGACATGTTAATATCAGCAGTATTAAAGCCTCTATGACTAATCAAAGTGTCAATTTTGGTAGTGATGGTGTTAATACCAATAAAGAACCACTGAAATCATGTGAATAAGTGCAGAAACAACAGTGAATGCACAGAACACATTACTGCTAAGAATCATGTGACTGTGGGTCACATGGATGACCAAGGGAGGTCAGCGTTAAGGAAACTGATTGTGAAAAGGAAGTATATAACTCAGGACAAGGTAAAAATACCTCAGTTTGTCTAACAACAAAACTTATCAAGGAAGATCCTACACATTATGAGTGCTAAAAGTGCAGCATCTGATATAAGCTAAGAAAAATGCGTAGGATCCCACTGGTCTTGGCCCTCAGACCTTTGGCAGGAAGTCAGCATCTCTAGGTCTTGTGTGATATTTACCTTTTTTGGAGCCATTGGACAACTGAAGTAGTGCTCCAGGGACTCTTCAATTGTTTTTGATTCAAAACTGCAGCCAATATGACGGCAGGAAATTTTGCCGAACTGTTTGATGGAGCGCTTCCATGCACCACATCTGAGGCCATTGATGTCACGTAACTCGACTTTCACGTATAACCCATCCTGCACAAATAAAGAACACAAGGCCTCTAATGTAGGTGCACATCCAACATGGCCACATTTACTTGTTCAATGTCAAATATTAGCCCCAGGATTCTGAGCACATGTAATAATGCCATGTCAAAGAGAGAGGTCAGAAAAAGGTGTGGAGGTAAGAGGCAGGTGAATAAGACAGGTCTGAAAGGAGGGACTGAGCAAAATCTTCAAAACCTCAGTCAGGAAAGACACTTTATTGGCAGATACATGAACTAGGTATACCCTAAGCATTAACAGTGGCCTCAAAGAACAGTCATTAATTGCAAGACTTAAGAAAGACATTAATCCCAATTTTAACAGAATTTTAGACTGAAAATGCTCTTCTTCCATCTACCCATACATGACATGAGCATTCTGAATATGCTTCTTGGGTTCTGTTGCAATCTTGTGGGGTATTATCATCAATATCCCTGATATCTCTTGCTGGGAAATGTGACAAGAGGAGGAAGAAAACTGGCTTCAGCCTTTTATGAAAGGAACCCCAAATCCTGCAACTGCAAAGTAGATCTTGCTGGCTAGGAACAGGGAATGAATCATGTTGCTGTTGCGTTACTCGCTTGTGAGATTCATATACTAAAAGGCAACTATATGTGCCAGAAAAAGTGGACCAGTTAGTTGTCATGTTGGCATTAGAAAGGTTTCTGACATCTGCCAAAAAAGAAATTTCTCCATCTGAATGTGTCACTTTGGTTGATGCTAAGATGCACAGTGAGAGTATGTCAAAATACTGTCATGTGTATGGTGGTACATGTGACGAGAATGATGGGTTCTAGTATGGATGATTGGATTTATTAGCACCTTGGTTACAACCTCTCTTAATCACACTTAAATACAGAGCTATCGCTGATTTACACACTTTCCATTTCACCGCTGCACATGCACTAGGATTCTCAGTCTTCATTAGTTGTCTCCTGGCAACAGGTCTCAACACAGAAACTAGCACTTCAAATCACTATGAAGTACCCTTGCCATTTCTTGTTCAGTCACTCTGGAACTCAACTGCACTCTATCACTGTCACTTAAAAAATTGAAATATGTCAAAGTCAAAGTCACATTGTGACTGACGGTCGGTCAGTCAGTCAGTCAGTAAGTCTTGGTGTCGAGCCCTGTTACGTCGTGGTGGGGGTGGGGCGTGGAGGTATTCCCACCGCTTCCACTACTGTTACGCCTTTATGACAGGGGTGGATGGGTTATCTCACTGCTGTCTCCACTGTTATGCCGCCGCTATGCCGCTATTATGCCGTGGTGACAGGGGGCGAGGAAGTATCCCGCTCTGTCACCCGGTTTAGTATGCTGCCACCATCTTGTTATATCAAGAAAACTAGTAAACTTATCCTTGCTTATGTCACTGTCCTGGCTTAACTCGTAATTCGCCGAAGCTTTGGGAGGTCCTGGAGTCGTCAGGGAAGAGGGTACACTTAAGGAAATGCTAGGTTGAAGTAAACTCACACACATGCCTATCCTATTCTATTTCCCTATGTCACTATATACATACTATATACACTCTTACCGACGTTCGTTGGTTGTATTACACTGGATAATGAACATGCAGCCATCATTAGTTCTACCTCCTGTCACCCTACTGGCGGGTATTCTACGCCTCCGTATCTCTGAATGAACCTAGTCCATCTAGTTAGCCTATCTTTCTCTGGGGTTTACACTTTACAATTATCACTATCACACTTAATGTTCATGGCTATATGAAGTTGGTTTCACTTACTTGAGCTGAGAAAACAGATGCTCGCCATCACCAACCAGCGCCCACTCACGGCCATCGCTCTCTCGGCGATAGCCTCCTGCTGAACTCTAAGTTACTTAATAATATTCAAAAGTCAAAAGGCAAAAAGGTTTTGTTGATTAAGTCTTCTGGGGTTTATATAACCTCTCTTTGCCGATTCTTCGTGTTCCGGGTATATTGACCTGCCCATTCTGACGTGATTTTGGGTCGGTGTGGCCCCCTCATTGGTTGCCTATCGAGAAGGGGTTGACTCTTTCGGGTCTACCGCCTCCTCCGACTCAGCGTTTTCCTCCTGCCATAGTGTTTATGACCTACTTCATATAGCTTCTTCCTCAATGTCAGCGTTATTACGCTGCCGTGCTAGCATTCTAATGACTCAGGAATTGCCTGTTACATTTCTTTGTAAACCCAAACTTCCTGGTTTGTTTCATCATGGCTGTTTCTTAATCTTACAGTCTAACTATTATTATTCCAAATTTACCCAAAAAACTATATCTACAAGTACCTGACCTTTGCGCCGTTACAAGCCCCACATATATTTTACTCTTTGACAGTTATGCTGCTGGTCCTTGCCAGCACACTCTTTCTCGGGTCTGAGTCCCTTGGGACTCGTGACCATATTTTACTGTCTCAGATTTGAGACATCCCTTTTTGTCACCTTCTAAGACTTGCAGGGTCATGGTGGATGCATTCGACTCCGCCTCCACACGGGTTTGAAATATGTTCAGTCTGTAACTGTTGTTATATAGCCTCTGCATTGACCACACAGAAAACAGCCTGTATTGTTGTAGAGGAGTGTTTACCATGACACTGCATAGCAACAGTCATGGTGCAGACCACATACAAAACACTGTACTTCTGTTGCTGCATGCGTGTATGCTGTGGATGTTACCTAGCAATGGTCGATGATTACAGATTCACTGTTTAGCAATGGGTACATTTTTTCCCCACTATTCTATTGAACCTGAAGGTTCATTACCGTGTTCACAAGAGCCCTCCACTGGTTCCTATCCTAATCCAGATCAATCCAATTGATACCATCCCATCCCATCCTACCTCTCTAAGATCCATTTTAATATTGTCCACTCACCTACATCTTGGTCTTCCCAGTGGTCTCTTTCCTTCTGGCTTTCCCACCAATATCACCCTCAGTCTATGTTCTTCCCTTAATGTCAGAGACCAAGTTTCACACCCATACAGAACCACAGGCAAAACTATAGTTTTGTATATTCTAATTTTTATGTTTTTGGAGATAAAAGGGGAAGACAAAAGGAATAAATGGTAGTGAGCATAACCCAAGTTCAATCTCCTCTTAATTTCCTCCTGAATCAAGTTTTGATCTGTTATCGTTGTTCCCAAATATCTGAACTGTGCCACATTTTCAAAACACCTGTTTCCTATCTTTATGTCATGATTTTGCCCTGCATATTGGTGACAAGACAGCAACATATACTTAGTTTTCTCAGTGTTTACTTCTAGACCAAACTCTTTACTTGCATCAATTAAAGTTTGTGTACTTTTCTTTATGGTATCTACATTATCACCCAGTAGATTCACATCAACGGCAAAGGCCAACAGCTCATGTGTCTTGTTCAATTTCAGTTCTGCCTGGTTTCCCTGGACCTTCCTAATGGCATATCTAAAGCAAAGTTGAAAAGGAGTGGCGATAAAGCATCTCCTTGTTTTAGACCATTCTGGATAGGAAATTTACCAGACAAATGTTTACCTACACAGACTTTAAAATATGTTTCACTGAAATACATTTTAATCAACCTAACTAGTTTCATAGATACCCAAACTCTATCAGAATATTGTACAATACCTCCCTCCTAACTGAATTATAGGCTTTCTTGAAGTCTATGCATAGCTGATGTACTGTCTCATTGTTCTCCCATTTTCTCTCCAGTATCTGATAAATGCAAAAGATCTGATCTGTAGTTGATCTGTTATGTTGAAACCCACACTGATGATCCCCAATTATTTCATCTATGTATGGACTTAACCTTGAGAGAAGAATAATGGATAAAATTTTGTATGAAGTTGACAGCAGTGATATCCCCTGATAATTACTAGTCAGTTTTATCACCCTTCTTATGAAACTGTACAATAATAGACTCCTTTCACTGACCAGGAAATTTTTCCTTATGCCAAATACAAGTATTTAGCTTATGGATCTTAGAAGATAATCTTTTGCCTCCTACTTGAATTTGATTTACACCTTTTCAATTTTGCAATAGCAATTTCAACCTCAAAAGGCTTAGGATCAGGTACTAACAGCTCAGCTGTATGTATTTCTGTCTAACATCACTGACCCTATGTACATTCAATAACTGAGAGAAGAAGTTCCTCCACCTATTCAAAATGTTGTGGGAATCTGCAACCAATCACCATTCTCATTCTTCACCAAGTTACTTCTAGGTTGGTAACCCCTCTTAAGGTCATTTATTCCTCTATACAGATCTCTCATGTTCTTGTTTTTACTGTTCACTGCAAGCTCATCAATTTTGTCTTTCAGATATTCCCTCTTTTTCTTCCTGAAATGCCTGCTGGATTCATGTCTTATTTTGTTCAGATTAGCCGCATTTATTTAGCATGCATACTGTAACCACTGCAACATGGCTTGTTTTTTTTGGTCTAATAATTCTGAGCATCTTTCATCGAACCATGGCTTATGCTTCCTCGGTTCATAATAACCTAGACTCTCCTTGGCAGAAATTTTGATATTATCTCTAATAGTTTCCCAAGCTTTATTAACACTTTGCGGACCGCACACTCTTTAAAAGGTTTTTCGCTTTTAAACATGGCGGACCGTTCTCCTGTTAACAGGCTTTTAAAACATGATAAGTTGCAACAAACTATACATCTCTCTGGCACCACCCAAGTTGCACGCATTGGCGTAATAAAACTCTAGAATATTCGCTTACTTGTCAGTAAGTTGATCTCGCTGTTTTCTTAAGCCACTATAAGCGATAATGCTTTGTTGCTCTTCAAGCTGTATGTATCAGCCAGTAGTTAGTGTTGGGGTATGGACAAGGACAAATTCTTTTCCGATGAGCCAGCTGACCTGCCTTGTGAGCTGCGTAGTTATGGTGTTTGAGAGAGCAGCAGTGACAGGGGAGAGCAAAGAATTGTGGCCACTTGTGACCACAGACAGTAAAAGCGACTGTAGCTCCGACGATAATGGGAGTAATAACATTGCGGTGACAGTAAAAAATTTAAAAAATCACAAAAATCTAAACCGTGATTCGAAATTGAAATACAAAGCATTTCTGATGAATGTGGCAAAGCCCTGGGCGACAGACCAGATGGTGGCGGCAGAACCAGAGTCAGACACAGACTTAGTGCGACCGTGCCCATCCAATCCCACCCCACGCAAGCCTCATGTGGATCCCACAGGGTGACTCTCGGGTGATATGCAGAAACATACCCTCATGAAAATTGTGAAGAGTGAACATTCCAAGGGGAAGCATCTTTCTAGGCTATGCTGTGTTTCCACAGTTCACAAAAAAAGGAGCATGTCTACATTTGCAAGTTCTCTGTAATGCCACTTCACAAAGGGGAATCTTTCCAGAAATATCACACTCTCAAGCGCTTCTAGGAGCATTGGAAAGTGTTCTCCAAAAATTTTAGTTCATAAAATTAATTAGGAAATTTTATATTAATTTTTAAAGTGAACAGTGCACAAGTTAGGGTAGTAGGTTTAAAAATGCCGGTCCCCAGGGTGATTTAAATATTTAAATAGCCGGTCCGCAAAGTGTTAACATCCACCTCAGTGTCTAAGCTTTCCAAAGCCATGAACCTATTTGAGACTTCAGTGGGTCCCTTGTCACCATAGCATGGGGCATCCTCAGGTCGCGGATGGAGGAGGCACCCTCCAGGTATGGAGGGAAGCTGCAAATATATTGAATAAGCAGTCATGGATAGCCAAAAAGGGGTGGTCCTCCAGCTGGGGTGGGGGTAGGCATGGGGCTAACAACTCCTCAACAAAAAAATAAGCTTGTTACAAAAATGCCCAAGAAGCCTCAGACTTGCACAGATTCTGTGGATAAACTTTTGAGCCATAAGGCTCATTTTTAGGGACCTGTCAAAAACGGTATCCTTCTAAATGTAAATAATAAAATTCCAAACATAACCAGATTTGGCTTCACACAATTCAAATGATTTTGTACCAAATCTAGCACATTTTGAAAAATGCATACCTTCCATGACTAATGTCCCTTCCACACCATCAAAGACTCATCTACTGACATACCACACCCTGGGGTATATATATAATAAACTTTGTGGCCTGTAATCTGCAACACTTTTAAATTTTGCATTTAGGTGACCCAGTATGGGTTTTAGTTTATACTATCTTTTGGAATTGCATGTGGCCTCATCATTATTTTCATTGCTAGGAAAATGAAGAAATCTATGTAGAAAGTGAAAACTCCTCTCACTGAACAGGTCCAAATATATGGGGGTTTCCAGAATTTTCCTCCAGGAAAAATAGCTCATTATCCAGTTTCTGGTGAAGTCCGTGTAACAGAAAGACTGAAAGCAACTTCATTATTTCATTTGTGTTAGTCTCCTTCCAGTGATGGGTCCTAGATTTTAGTTTCAGATTAGGCATGCTTTCTAAAAATATTTTGGCATACCAATTTGTTTCTCTGGCTATTACTTCTGCAATTACTGGTGTAAAAAACAACTCAAAATATTCCATGGGTGGGGTTACTGAGTCTTCTAGATGAACATTTATGTCAGGCTTATAAGTAAATGGAGAACACGGCTCCTCAGCACCTAACATTGCCCATATGGCATGCTGCATGCTACTGTTGTGACTACATTTCTTCTTCATCAGAGGTGATACTTTGTTCATCATACTATGAAATTCTCACACTTATTTCAATGTCACTACTAAATTTGCTCTCAGAAATGTCACTATAGCAACAGTACACATACACCTCCTCATCACTCACATTCATCTTCTTGCCAGGACCTGCCATAATGTTTACTCTTCAACAACTCAAACCTAGGACAGCTCTCAAGCAATCTGCAACCTTCTTCCCATCACACTCTGAAGTAACAAGATCTAACAAGCACAACGTACAAATTTGTATTGTGAACTGTCATTATGTCTACAACAGTGTAGTTGAAAACATGCATGACATGTATAGACATGATACCCACTATGATACAGACTAGTGCATGACGAGTTAAGATGTCATACCAACTTAACTGGTTAAAAAATAATAGAAGGAATTCGGATATGGGATTAGTGAGTTTCTGCACCTCGTCCATCATCCAGAACACAGAAGAAACGCCTTACTGAAACTGGATCTGTTTCCATCCTTAGGTGAAAGGGTGGAGAGGCATCAAAACTGTCAGATAAAACTGTGTAGAAATCCAGGATTACACTCTGTCCAATAATGGAGCTCAGTTACTGACAGTCACTACACCGTAGGTACTTTCCCATCATGTCACCTGAAGATGGAAATAGATCCAGTTTCCAAAATTTTGTTTTCTTTCAGAATACCAGACAATGGAAACGTTCAGAAATTCCGTAACCTTGAGTGTAATACACAGTCAGCCTTTCAGAAATGGCATTAAGCCCCCACTTTAAATAGACTGTGGCAATATATTCACAGAATTAATGACCATAAATTCAGTTGAATACAAAACAAAAAAACAAAAAAAAAAACAGTAACCCTGTCCCTTCAGCTATTAGCCATGCTGATATTTATGGTGTATCAAAACAAGAACACGCAAACTAACATCCCACTGAGACAGTCATGGAACCAGTGTGAACGGCCCATGTAGCTGATGACTTTACAACAATAAAATTAACCTTTATCCTACGGGCATTTAAATTGCGGTTGGGGCTGNAAATTAAATTAAACGTTTCTGTGAGTGACTATCACGAAGTATGTAAAACATATTACTTACTGAATGTTTTGTAGGCTTCTCATTGCCTTCTGCCATATCCTCATCTTTGATAAATTCTTGCATAAGGGACACCGCTCTGTGAAACATAAATCTGATATGAGGAACTTTGATCAACTGCAGAAACAAGAAGTTTCAGATACATACCTTCTGGCTGTACCATGATGCTAGCATGCATGAACAAGCATGTAATTCTGCCTAACACCAGAGAGCTTCAGACATAACCCCCAAACTACACATCTTTGCCACTTAAATATGTTACATACACATGAATGCATATATAACTGACAGGTGCCATTATGATCTATCTCCACAATAAATGTTATATGTTAAGCTACAGTAATTCACTAGCTGGCACTTTAAAGAAAATGTGAATACAGTAAATCCCTTTCTAATCTAAATTATCTGAGGGGGAGAAGTCATCCAGATTAAGTGATTATTAAAATTAATGAAGCAAAAGATAGACCCAAAAGAAAAAACAAACATTTAGAAAATAAATAAACGGAAAAATTAATATTATACAGATCTGACAAAAAAAAAAACAACTCCTCTGTCAGAAGCTGTGATCCTGGGTCTCCTTCATCCAGCTCAAGCCAATCATGGACATTTTCTTGCATGGTTTAGTCTCTCCACCTGCCCTCAACACAGTCTGAAATTCCTCTTGCTTCTAAATTCCATGTGTCTTTTAAAGTATGTACTTAACTGCGAACAGAATTTTTAATTTTTCATGCTATGATCCAGATTATCCAACATCCAGACTAGCTGTAACCAGATTGGTGAGGGTTTACTATGTTGCAAAACTTGCAATATCCAGCATTGGATGATTCAGAAATTTCTATTAACTGGAAACTGAGTTTTTATATTATGTTAATTAAACTGATAAAGACAAACTATTTACAAGGTAAATCTGTGGAAGAAAACAGTTAAGATGGCAACACCAAAATGTAATTCACTACTCTGAATACGATGTTTAGAAGAGTGACATATTAGTGTCTTGTTGGTTTTCTAGATTACAGGTACACAATGTTATGTAAGTGGTAATGAAAAGGGACTAGTAAATGCAGCAGGCAAAACAGGATGGGATATTAAGTGAGGTTGCTACGTACACACCTATACACATTACATATGATGTTCTAATATTATAATATCCAGAAATTCTTTGGTTCCAGATGTGCCAGATACAACTTTTATTGTATAAAAAGGTAAAGTTGTCCCTGTGCTTAACTAATAAAGCACTACGCCATGAAGGCATATGGGGGAGTAGATGTATAGATCCACATTTTCTTGACCTTGGCATTAGTTGGAGGTGAGTGGTCAGTTTCGGTGTCCGACCATGGGGGGCCCCAGAGCCAGTCTGGACACTGTTGAGAAGAGAAAATTCTTTACTCTAATGAGTCTCAAACCCCTAGGTTGACCAGTCCGTAGCTAGTCGCTATACCAACTATGCTATCCTAGTCACCGGTCACTAAAATTTTTATCTGCTCTCTGAGGTAATGTTCTGAAAAGGCACTGCAAGCAGTCTAGTGGGCCAGGTTTCACTAGTCTAGAGCACAGAATAAGCAAGATGCTTCAGAGACTCACTTAGTGGCAGCAGCCCTCTTCATTTTGGAGTCCACTTTCATTTCGTCCTGTGTGATGGGTTCCTCCACGTTGGGTGGGTTCTTATGGACGGTATACATGTGAACCTTCAGACTTGCAGGCAGCATTACCCTACCACATATCTCACACGGCATCTTCAGCCTCACACGTTCCTGTAGGGTAGGAAAGGGAAACACTCATTTGTCACAATTTTCAATTTTAAGCGAAATATTTCTAGAAGCGCCATCTGAGTGAGTTAGTTACAGCAGAGAAGCAAGCAGTTAATAACTTCTGTGCTGACTACATTTTCTGTTCTCTGTCTACTCTGGCCTTGACCACATATACTCAATTTTACATACTAATTAGTTCTATTTGTGGGCTTTGATATCTTTCACAATCTGGACTGTTAGTACAAGAGCTTTTTAATTTACAGGAATGATTATTTTCTTATGTTGCACCTCTCACTCAAGACAGCTGCCTGCATCCTGTCATGGTTCACGTAAGTAGCAGTACCAAACATCTGTACCAATGGATGGCACTGTTGTGCCAGCCAAGGAAGAAACCTCTCACCAACCTTGTTTAAAGCTGTGATGGATGAAACTTAAGATATGGTTAGCAAACGAGAGAAGAAAGGCAAACACATGAAAACAGTGCATTTTCACACTGAACTTGGGCTAACATGAAAGGAAACAGGAAAGAAACTACAATAACAGAACCTCATTGTAAAGAAATATGACTATGCACACAATGGTGGTAATACTTAGGATTTTGAGGAAAAACACAAATGTAAATATAATTTGGGAAGTGAAATGAACTAGGAAAAAGCCAACAAAGATATCAGCAGAAAAATATATTGTGCTATGATGTCTAAGAACCAGACGCTTCAAGATCTTGGAAATGTTGCAGAAGCATCCATTGCTAGATAATGGTGCAGCAACAAATAAGGGGGAAAACAACAGTTGAACTACTATTCATAATGTTGTATTTTAGCATCCTGTTGCACTGATTTTCATCCATGATACGTACGTAATGGCCGTCTTGCAGTGCACTCAATTTCATATGTCACTTCTTACTACATATTTCAGCAACATAGTGCCATCTTCAGGTTTGTTATTTACGCTAAGCTATTACACTGTTTGCTATCTTGTGTCTTTCATAAAATTATTTAGAAAATACATTATTCATCAACTATAATAAAATTTGTATATACTAAAACTTGTTAAGATTATTCATCTATATGTCTAAATTCGAACTCGCATATAGTATGGTTTGTCCACTATGGGAGTCGTTTCTGTGTGTACTGTGTCTGTGATGTGTCCTTCCTTTTTGGCTGCAAGCGCTGTAGTAAGAAGTGACATATGAAATTGAGTGCACTACAAGACGGCCATTACATACGTATCATGAATGGGTGAACTGTTGGAGAAAGTGTTTTCTTGTTGATTTGCAACAGGGCAACATACAGAGAGCCAGTGAGCCAGCAGAGGAAGTAGGCCCCAATGCATTAGGGAGAATCTGTGATGAGAGAGCTCATGACTTAGCAATAGGTCTGTGTTGACAGAGCCAACAAGAAATCATGCAAGAGTGGTATAATAGAATACTTGTCAGTTGTTTAATCATTTGTAGATAAGAGGAACTGGGGTCCAGTAAATACAATTACCAACTGGAACCCATAGTTTAGTCATCATGTGGCAACATACTGTCTTATAATTATCAAACTACAAAGTAGGTGTGTGCGAAAATGACTTTCTTATGTAAGATTTGAGGTTCTGCTCTGCTTATTACCTGAATCACACTTATTTCTTGCTGGTTTCAGTTTGAGACAAGAATTTGGAAAGATTTCGAGAACTATGAGACCGGGAATTTTCTCTGGCCAACCAGTCTTTCCAGTGTGATAAGTTATAACATCAGTCACTTTTCCACAATGCAATAAATGTACTACTGTATTTGCCTGAATGGAAGATAATCCTGCACTACAATCATATCAGCACAGACAAAAAATATAAGTTTATGAATTACTGTAAAAATCTTGGTACTAACATGTGAGAGGAAATAAACATTATAAACTATGTTACATATCAAATTTATTCAGTCAGTTTCCTTTTTAAGTCACTATCCTTTCTTCACATACACCAGCGACTTATCACTATTATCATCACCCACCTGAGCATCAGTGTCTTAACAGTTCCTATGCTCACACTCCCATGATCACTCATTTCATCAGATATACAACAGCTTCTAAATCTCCTAACCATCACTTCTGTATAGATCTGATGCCAATGTCTTCATTCACTGGCACAATGGTTTTCAAATGGCTCCTTTACTGTCCTAGCTGGTGTCACAACATAGTCCTCTATCAAGATCCAGTTGGAGTCCAACTATTTCAAATGATCGTTAAAGACGTATTCTGTAGAATGTGTAATTACAGAGTCATCCCTCTTGGTATGACTACACAGTCAGTATACATTGCATGAATCACATATATGCCATTCCAGATGCATCCAGCATGAGCATTCCTTCTTTCCTCAACAACGCTCATGGTATCCTGTTCCAGGCAATTTGCAACCAGAACCCATTTACCACTTATCCATTGGTCTCATGCATGATTACCAGCCCCATATGCACCTTAGACACCATGCTTTCAGTTCATTACCATATACAGTGGTAATTTCATGCTGTCTGCCAACTCAGTTCACATTAGAGTAACTTGTGTATTTACACTGCCTGATGTTCTCATGATGGCAGATTTTGCATCTACGTCATCTACTGTGTAACTGAATGACACATTGAAATACACCGCCGCCGCTGCCGCCGCCGCCACCGCCACCGCCACTGCCACCACCGCCGCCACCACCACCACCAAATGCCTTCTGCCAGTCTATGAAGCAAACAGACAGTTCTTCATCCATCTCCAAAGTTCGTTCCGCTATAATTCTCATCATCCCAATTGCATCCCTGGTTCCTTTTCCTCTTCTAAATCCAAACTGATCTTCTCCAAGTACATCCTCTATTTTCCTTTCAATTCTTCTTTTAAGTATCTTTGCTATTATCTTTGCTGTATGTGCAATAAGACTTATTGTGCGATGGTCGCTGCATTTTGTAGCTTTTGTCTTTTTCTTTAAGGCAATCATTGTAACTTCTGTAAAGTCCTTGGGCAACTCTCCACTTTCATATATGGTGTTCATTAGTTTTGTCAGTGTTTTCAAACCACCTTCCCCAAGTAACTTGAGCACATCTCCAGGTACATCATTATCTCCTGCAGCCTTTCCCTTCCTAATTTCCTTGATAGCTTTTTCCACCTCACTTTGTAAAATATATGGTCCTTTCCCGTCTGTATCTACTTCTTCTTCCGGTTCAACTTCTAAGGTTTCTGGCCAATTAGGTCGATCATATAGTTCTGTAATATACTTTTCCCAAATTTTCAGCACTTTCCTCTGATCTACTATTCTATTCCCCTAGGAGTCTTCGATGCCAACATTTTGAATCCCATGATTCTCTTTCCATCCTAGTTCTTTGGCCTTCATGTACATTAAATCATAACGTCCTGTTCTTTGAAATTCTATAATCTCATTACATATCGTCTCAAGATATTCCTTTTTGGCCCTGTCCTGGCTCTTTTCAATTCATTCCTCAGTCTCCTGTATTTCCTCCATTGAAATACACTGGCATTTAATTCACAATGCCTTGAAGTACATATGCTGGTAATGATCTGAAGAAAACCTGTTCCTCCACATCCAGCCTTCTCCCACCACTTGACAAGGGTTATGCACACATGAATACAAGCACCTTAGGAGACCAGGTCTATCATCACAAGTTGCTTCATGACGCAACAGTCACAAAGGTAAATGTTTTGGATTCACAACATTCCATTGCAGAATCACACATATGACAATGGTGAACTCTTTTCAGAAATGTGGATTCAATTTAAATCACACAAATGATGATAAAGATGCAACAGAACTCAACATAGCTGAAGATGACTGGGGTCAGCTGAAAGAAGGTGTAACATTTCAAGAATATGTATCCTGTGTTAATGACACTGTAATGTGTGAGGTGTAGAACTTAGAATAAATGAAGGATGAGAAGTTCATGAGTCTTAGGATGTGGAAGATGACGGTGGAAAAAGTGAACCTCTAGCAACATTTCTAATTGCACTGGAGGGCATCAACACAGCATGTCGATGATAACATGACAGCTGTCCTCACTGGTACTGAGAGTGAGGTGTACAGGGTTCGGCAGAAAGCAAAGTGGCTGCAACTTACTTTAATATACATGTAAAAGGAGTGAAATGGATTGCTTTTTTAATGCAATACAGTATTAACTGTCTCTAATTTCAATAAATTGTGATTTACTTCATTTCAGTTTCATTTTAAATGGTCCTTTCTCAAACATAAGATCCATGTTTCACTGCACATAACTTATGATCATGCAAAATGTTAATGATTGACAATTTGTTGCTATAGTAACCTGAAATTGCATTATTTAAGATTTTCATCCCAGCATTACGCTGCTTTTTTTATATACATGGAAGGATTGCACGGAGATCTGAAGGCTGAATACAGGAGAAACGGATTTTCCTTGCTGTGAGAAAAAGGACAATTCCAAGAGGTGAAGTGAGTAATGTGTCAAAAGGGCCAGAGCTAGTACCCACCGCATCAGACTTCCGGCAGCACTGTAAATGACTGATGAAGCCCACCACGCTCCGCTTGCTGGTACCACAATCCTCGCAGATCAGAAACTTTTTGGTGTGGCGGATTCTTGTCAGGATCCGTATCAACAGCTTCTCATCATTAAAATCCTGTAATAAAAGTCACATTATTCTTTAGGTACCATTCAGCATTTTCATAACTTTTCCTTCCACTGGCAGTAACAGGAGCATCTGCTGGAGCTAAGATGTTACATATCCTATCCATGTATGTAACAGAGTTATTTTCAATATGAGAATGGTAAGTTATTTAAACTTAACTCTTTGACTGGCGCGGGCGTGTTTTAACGCCCGGATGATGCCAGCCGTTCCCTGGCGTTGGCGTGTTTTAACGCTTTGACAATCTCGTCCCTTCTTTGCTCTCTTGGCACTCATCAACCAAAGACATATTTATGATAGCTTTTGTGCATGTTTGTAAAGAACCCTTGTAAACTTTGTGGGGGTCTATATTACTGTCAGAACCCTCTGAGAAGGTAAAGGTCAGAAAATATTTCACATTCATTCAGTTTCACCATAGCTTCTTGCAGCAAGTGTCTTCGTTTTCCTACAGACCAGCTGGAAAATGTTGTGAACGAGATTTTTTCTGATGATGATAGTGGCGATGAAATAATGATTCCTGAATTGGATTAAGTTGATAGTGACAATAATACAGTGATAGGCAATGATCCACAAGACAGTAATCATGAACATTTACCTACCACGAGTGCGGTGCCTGACACGCCCATCTCATGAACGTACGGAGATATTGTACCCCCACCCCAANTATTTCACACCCATGGTTTGGACAAAACATGTCTTTGCGGTTGAATAGTTTCATTCTATTCAAAAAGAACACAACAAACGAAAAATACAAGAAGAGAAATTACAGATTCAAAGATTTTATATTGGACTGTGTAGAAAAATGACTGAACCAAACAAACAGTGTGGAGAGGGAGAAAAGTCAAGGAATGAAGTGGATGACGAATCTATTGGGTCAGACTAGAGTGCAGTCACGCCTCCGCCCTCGACCTTGAAAAGACCACCAGTGAAAGAGCCAGCAAATCGTCTAGAGGGTGGCTTGAAAATTCACAAAATGGTCCATGTTCCTAACAGTAACAATAAGAAGAATGGTGCCCTGAGAAAGTGTCGCGTGAGTGCTAATTACAAGGTTAGAAAAGAAACAAGTATCATGTGTGCAGGCTGTGGTGTGGCTCTCTGCAAACTTTCATGTTTCAATGTTTATCACACGAAGAAAAACAAATAAAGAGGTGTGGAAAAGCATTTATTGCATAAAATATTGTATTTTAATTAGTTCCTAAAAATTTCGTTTCTAAAAACCAATTTTTGTTGAAGTTGTTTAGGAAAAAGTAACAACATGCATTTTAGCGACATAAGGTTTAAAGGGCCTGCCAGGACAGGGGTGGGATTTAAATACCCTTCGCGCCAGTCAAAGAGTTAATATTATTAGTTTGAAAATTACACAGTTATGGGTTGATGTATGCTTTATGTGCCACTACCATATGTGGTTTAAAGTTGGGCAGTTAGGTATAATGGCTGTTTCAAAACCATACACAAAAGTAAAAAAAGCAAGTGTATTTTATTAATGGTGTTAAGAATGACTCACAACATTATGCATATATTCAAGCTACAAGCTGGAAGGTCATGGGTTCAAGTCCCGATGAGGTCATTGGATTCTTTTCAATTGACCTAATCCTTCTGGCTGCACTATGGCTCTGGAGTTGACTCAGCCTCTAACAGCAATGAGTACCAGGAATTAATTAAATAATTTTCCTGGGGAGTAAAGGGCAGCCGGCACATAAGGCTGACAACCGTACCCCCATCGTTGAGCCGATTGTCTACATAATGTGAGACCCTCAACGTCTCACAACACTATGGGCCTTCACGGCCGGGTACAGGGACAGCTTTACTTTTACTTTATCAGTGAGATTTAACCTGCATCCTTTGTTGGCCTGTTACACCAGCTGGATATGAGTTACTCATATGCATGAACATGCAATAAATCATTAGAAGAATGTTGATGGGACTTGTGACCAATTGGGTGCTGCTAGTATAGCATGCCACCTAGTGAGTGTTCGGTTGTGAGCAGAAGTAGCTACATCAGTTATATATATATCTATATAGATAAAAATGTAAATGTTCGTTTGTCTCTGATCGAAAATCTCTGTAAGTTCTTCACCAATTGCTTTGAAATTTTGACACAACTTTGCATTCGAATATGCGCGTTTTTTTATGTACCTATTATATAGATGTCACGCCTGTGACAGGTAAAAACAGGTAAAAACATGTCACATGTTCGGAATCCAGGAGTCACTTCCATAGTATCACTAGAACAGACCGTTGTATAACAACGGATGAAACCGGAAAGTATACTTCCATGGAAACGCAATAACAGTGGGCCGTTGCATAGGAATTGCCAAAACAACAAACGCATTTCCCCGGAGATGAGAGTATAAGAGGTTCCGCTGCGTAACAACGGATGAAACCAAACACTTCTACAAGGTGTTCTGTGCTAGAATTTCCTAAGCAACAGATGAAATTAACTCTTCGATAAGGTATTCCCTATCCCGTCCGACCACTGGCTATATGTATAAGAGAGTGTAGCTCCGGCGACTGTTCAGTATCACGAGTGTCTCGAGTATCACGAGGTCACAAGTATCACAAGAGATTCCGAGTGAAATCACAGCAGAGATCCTGAGTCTCGGGGCAGATGGCGAGGAATACGGAAGAGAGTCTGGAGGTTACCGCCGAAGGAGTCAGTCTTGGGATAGCCACCGCCGAATATAAACAGTTTCGATTTATTTTCATTTTGATTTAATTATTTTGTGTGACATTGCGTTGGAATTGGGCTGCGTCGTTTACCATAGCATTCATTTCGTGAGTATAGTTTATTTTTCATTGTTTTTCAATTCGTTTTCTTAACTGTTTTCCTTATTTTCCAGTGCATTTGGTGGTGGGATTGAGCTGTGTCGATTGATCTGCGTTTGAATTGAAATATTTCATCAGTATTTTTTATTTTTTTTGTTTCTTCGTTTTCCAGTTCGTGTTCTTTCCTTTTTTAATGTTTTGCAATTTCATATGCTTTTGTTATAACTTTCTTTCTTCTTCTTCAGTGCAATCGTTCTGCTTTACTTCATCCAAATAATGCCTCGCAGAAGAACAAGCTTAGGTCGTCGTACTCGCGGAGCAGAAGCAATGCGTCAAGTAATTTCAAATAACACTGGGGAAGAACGGGCAGACTGAGCCACAGCAAGGTGTGGCCGGGCACAGCTAGTATATATATATATATAAAACTCTTCATTTCAGAGAGTGCTAAAAATAATGAACCACTGAAATTATTTTCTGTTACTTTCACATACCTGTGTTGAGCACTGCAAAGAAAAGAAAAGAAATTATGCTGCACCAACACTTACTGAGTTTTTGGACTTTGTCCATCATCTGGTATTCTAGAATCTAGAGAACTCAATGTTTCAGAAACTGGATCTGTCTCCCTTTCAAGTGAGGGGGGAGGGGGGGACACATACTCTGCTGGGTCCCTTAGAAGGAGCTAATTTCTATCACTGTCCAGAGATTGAGGTTAGATCTTTCTAAGGGACCCAACAGAGCAGGTGTCTCCACCTCTCACCTGAGGACGAAAACAGATCCGGTTTCTGAAACGCTGTTCTCTAGTTTCTAGAATACTGTATGATGGACAAAGTCCAAAAAACCATTAATTCTGAGTATTATACACCATCAGAACAGGACCCTTTAGAATCTACCAACATTATTATTTACACTTTAGGGCCATACTGTATGATACATAATTCCATGATGAATGACAGGCCTGCCCATGCATATTCAAACCATTTCTGGATATTACAAGTATCCTTTAGAATGAGCACTTTCTATAAACTCTCATAAATCAAGGTTCCTCTGCAGCAACAACAACAACAAATACAGGCTACTGCAATTCTGGGACTTTTTGTTATTATATATCCTGCTACCACATGAAACCCACAGAATGATCACTTCTGCCCTCAGTTCAGGCTACAGCCCTGATAGCTCAAGAGTTAAACAATGGCTTACTTCATTCTTATCCAGTTCAATCTGAGGACCTGTTGGTTCTGGAAACATTATAAAGGTTGCAACATAACTTACTATTGGGTCACCTCCTTCAATCCAGGCAAGCCCACAATGTTTGATTCTGTTGTGTCGCTCAAAGTACCTCTTCTGCATCTCTTCACTGCATTTATAACAGTTTACCTGTCCAACAAAACAGCAGAATCAGCAACCAGTAAAACTCCTTTTTATATAAGAAACACAATTTTTTCTACAGTAATCTACCCATGATTTCTGAGTTATATACTTTTCAAAAGAATTTTTCCAGAATTCAATCTCAGAAAAAAAAATCACTGTCCTGCTCAATTTGTAATGAAGAATAATTAATGACTGCTATATAAATTGTAGGGGGAGTCAGAATGGCACAGCCGGTACAGAAACTGACTAGAGGCTCAATGATAAAGGGGTCGGAGTTTGGGTCCCAGTAAGGGGATGAGTTTTCTCCTCTCCATGTCTTCCAGTCTGGTTGTGGGGGGACTCTTTTTCTGGGGGGTAAAGCGGCCGGTGCATGACGCTGACCATTCACATCCAACTAATGCCAAGGTCAAGAAATACAGATCCATACATCCACTTGCCCATATGTTGTCTTCATGGTGTGGTGTTAAAATCAGGGACAATTTTACCTGCGTATCAATTGCAGGTTATATAGCATAAAAATGAGACAAATGTTCATAAATAGTCATGGTCCAGTTAGGATACAATTCCTGCATAAGAGTAAATCACGGGCAGTGACTGCTTGATGAATCCTGATAGTAGGTGCTCTGGAAAGCAGCTGGGTTCAGAGAGATTAATAATGAAAACTCAATGTACACATGCCTTAGTTTCACAGTGCAAAAGAGACCTACTTGTTACTGGGGGAACTGCTTTAGTCAGTTTTTTAACATGTATGCTGCAGTGATCCATATATATTTTAATGTGGATGGTGCAACAGGAAGTAGGGGTCATGCGAACTCTGCGCTTCCATGAGTGACGTCACATACCTCCACTCCTTCCATCACTACACACAGCTCGGTAAACAACCCTCCCCGCTAGGCTGTGACATCATGCAACAGGGGAGTCCATGCAGAGAGTATTGCTAGGCAATCGGCAGCGTTACCCAGCAACGTCTCTGTAAACACGGCGAATACGAACCAGTGAAGCAAGGTGCATTTTCCTCTGTCCGACTGAGGATGTATAAGAGTAACTGGAATGCCTAAGGAGTTCAGTTGTAGTCTAGCATTTGCCGGAGTTAGCTGAGCATTAGTAGTCGGTTTCCAGCCTTCAGAGAGAGAGTTACGAGACAGAGCCAGTTACCAGAGTACTAGAGTTACGAGGATTCAGCTACGAGTTGTCATTGAATTGTATCGAGTGAATGGAAGTGACTACAGCAGGAGAAGTAATTGTGATACTGCAGATGGCAGTAATTGTGAAATTGTGAATTGTGTAAGTGTAAGTGTAAGAGTGAGTGTTCAATAAATTCGCTAGATCCAAGACGGCATGAAGTTATGTGTCGCGTTACAAACACTCAACACGTGACAATATGTTACATTCTGAAATGTACTGCAATAGAACAGAATGGTGGAACCCACATGCAGTATTAGTCTATCCTCAATTGCAAAATGCTGAATGAACTGACATGTTCTTCTTTCAGAGGAAGGGTACATGTGACATGAAAATACTGAAAAACTTTAGTTCAGTACCCTCTGATGGGATGATGTCACATATTGGTGTGATGCAAATCTGGAGATAATTAATTAATTTTACTGACTGGCTAATAAGCTGCTAAAGGTAATGTCACCTGTCAGTGACTATACATAGAGTTTCGATTTAATTGGATTTACTGAACTTCACAACTCATAACTACCAGTAATTATAATGCTCTTGCTAATTCACACTCTTGACTTCTTGCTACAACATTGACAATAGTTTTCCAGTCATTTCCTCACCAATGTTTGCATTATATAATTGGAACCAACATTATTTTTATTAGTTTTGTTATGAAAAGTTCTAATATTAGTGAAATAAATTGAAAAGTTGCTGTCACATTTACCTCAGAAAAATCTTCTTGCTATGACATACATCAAAATGATTGTCCACATCCAAGGCCACTTCACATCTTGGGCAATGATACACTGCTCCTGTGTTTGTTACAACACACTGTTTTATGGGTTTTGATTTCCTTTCTGTTTGAGGTAATTCACTTGAGGAATGTTACTTTGTTAGCCTTGCTACTGTGACGTCATCTGCTTCAGATCTCATCACTTTGTGTTGCTCTTTAGAATACTTTAACCCCTCCTGCACTAAACTAGCTCTAAATTTTGAATGTTCCATCTCTCTATCCACATTCTGTCTGTATATTGTCACTGCATTCACATTAGTCTACAGAGATTTCATTCTTTTATTTGTTTCCTTTCTTTCTATGGGGAAGAGGTGAAACAGTTCTGTTTTTGTACTTGCTGAGCTTGGTTTGTGGTGACTAGTCTTGTTTCAACACTGTGAATGCAGATACCATTGCTATGGTCTTCTTATTACTCCAGCTGTTGACAGACAATGTCCACCATACTGCACAGTACATTCATTTCTCTTCAGGTTTCTCTCTTTTACTTTTGAAGGTGCCTTCTTCCTGTTTGGATATGGAGTCCTGGCACATTCAGTCATTAACAGCTTTCAGAATTCAGAACTGGTGAATCAAAGAAGTTGTATGTCCAAATTATATTGTGGTGTAGAGAACTGCTGCTGGGCAGAGACCTTGAAAGTGATGAGCACAGCTATTGTTATGCAATAGGTTGAAAAACAAACACCTCTTTCTAAGCAATGGAAGGTAAAGATGTCAAAAAATACCTGGGCTATTGCTAGGCAACTGTTCAGTAAATGGTTCCCATGGCAAAGCATATGCATGCAACGGTTGAGGTATTTAAGATCTAAAAGTTTGTGATGATGGTACATTGATACAAGTACACTCAACTCTCAATTATCCGGGGGTGGATAAACCGGTTTGCAGCTTAACCGGGGCTACTGAGGCTTTTTTGAGGCTTATATGTTGTTTAATATTCATTCACTTTTGTTTCACATGGTGAGTTGTAACACTATTTTCGCAGTAGTGTGAACCGAGCTCTGCTTTCTTTGGTCCCGTTATGCTAACACAATGTTCTAGGGTAGGGGTGAAAGACTGCAAGGATTTGTGGAAAGTTTCAAGGACAGATACACTGCCCCAGTNGCACGAATATCCCTAAAAAGGAAAATGCCACGAAAAAGCAAATGACAATATTAATTTTTTTTTAAGTGTTAAGTGTGAATATTCATAAAAAGTGTTGGATGTTTTTGAACACTGTGATTGAAATAACTAATTCATACTTCAGTGTAATGTAAAAAATTATTAAATAGGCCATGAGATGAAATAAAAATGAGGTTGAATAAATTTAAATACAGGTAGGCCTATAATATTATGAAGGTACACTATTACAGTACTACTTTTAATAAAATTTGTCTTATCCAGATTTTCGATTAATCGTGATTTCCATCCCCACCATTATCCCAGATAATCAAGAGTTGAGTGTATTATGTTTTTGGACACTAACCACCCTGTTTATCTTTCAAAGCAGATAGGGACTAGCTCTATCTTTTAGGCCCAACTGAGTAGGTTTTACCTGGAGGAGGAGACAGAATCCAGTCTCTGAAATGTTGTGTTTTGAAAAATAAACAGGATGGTTTTTAGATATAGACAAGATGATGGATAATGTCCAAAAACATAATACTTGGTTGAGGTTCTGCTGCATTATAACAATGGAAACGGTGTTTTCTATGTGGTTTGTGATGAAATGTTATAATCAGGATCAGTCAAGTTCTGGCATTTGAGGCGTCAATAGTTCAACTGAGTGAAGTGACATGAAGTAGCTGGTTGGTGAGTGAGCGAGTTCAGTTTTCAGTTGTCAGTTGATAGTTAGCATGTGAAGAGAAGACTAGGAGGTTGGTGTGAGATGGCCAGAAACCTGGGACCCCAGTCAGTTGAGAGGAGTTCTGTACGGGAGACTGTGAAGAAAAGAGTTAGTTGAAAGATTTTGGCTATGAAAAGACTTCATGTGTGATATTTAGAGTGTGTAATTCAGTGAGACTATTATAGTCCCTGTGTTAAATCCATTGCCAGGAAACGGCTACTTGAGACTGTAACAGACTGAAAACATTAGTCCGTGTGTGTCAGTGATCTGTAAAGTTCATTCCAAGTGGTGTACACAAGAGGTAACAAATCCAAATATCCAATCCATACCCTGTCTATAGTCACACCCCTAAATCCTTGACAATATACTCCCTGTGAAAGATGGGATCTACTGACCTCAGTACTGTGGAGGTCCTTTTATGCATGTCACTGTGGATCAGAGGGGACTGTGTTATTGTATCCTTCCTTGTGTACACAATGAATGACTACATACGAACAGCACTAGACTTACACAGTTCACAGGATCTTACACAAAATGTGAGGTGTTTCATGGGAGGTATTGCTTGAAAGAAAGGCATCCTCTCCACATGGTTAGTTAACTCATCTGCTGAAATACTGTGATTAGGAAAGGAATTTGGAATTTAAATGGTCCAAGACAGGAATGATTTTGAACAATCTGGGGGGGGGGGGGGAACCTTTGTAATTCTTTTTGGTGCTGCTGTCTGTGAAATGTAAGAACCTGCAAATTGATTCAAACGATCAAGAAAATTACTGAGTCATATATTGCTTCCAGCTGACAACCACATATGTGCACTGCAACTACATTAATATATGAAAGCACATCATAAGGCTTGGTGTTTGAACAATGCCAAATAGCATGAACAGAGCCAGGAAATTTCATCTTCAACAACTGGTTTCACTCCTGCTGCAATATGTCCAACAAATTCCTGGCTAAAAATGGTTCCAAAAATGTCCATGGTATCAGTCTCACAGTGTGCACTGCCTTGAGGTTCACTAACTCTCACATACATGTCCCTTCTTGCAAGATGCTTCACTGTGTCTTGCCAGCCACATGTATCTGCACCAACACATGCCCCAGAAGTGTCAATGTCATCATCTTGATCACTAACATTATATGCGTCCTCTTCTTTATCATCAGAACCATCACTTCAGTCCACGTCTCCTTCAGCATTTACTAATGCAGCTGTTCCACTGTCTGCCAGATGTCTCAACCTGGATATTGATTCCATGGTTCCATTACTGACGGTACAGAATTCTTAAGCTATTGTATGGGAACGTCTGTGGGACTCAGAAAAGTTATGGCAATCTGTCCATATCTACCCATAACAGGTTTCAGATACCCCTGACATTATGTTCACTTATCACTCAAGAGATGCTAGGAAGAGGCACTATATGTATCGTTACCTAGCTCGTGGCAGTTCTCTACTGTCGATGTATAGTTTGATGAGATGATCAGGGATGTGAAACCATGCATGTTAACTGATGTTTTGGAGAAACATACTATTTCCATCTTCAGGTTAAAACAGTAAGCTGAGCATGCAAGTTAGGTTAGGATATGTGCTTGCTCATCTTACTCTTCAACCCTGAAGACAGAGGCAGTATGTTCCTTCCATACATCAGTAGATTCCCACCTCATGACTCAAGGTACATGGGTTCAAACCCAGCGGAGGTCGTGGAATTTTTAAGGGCAGAAAAATTCAGGGAACAAGTCCTCCAGGAGGGACTTTAACCCGTGGGTCCCGTGTCATAGATTTACGGCATGTAAAAGAACCTCATGTCTCTAGGAGACCTCTGAGCAAAATTTGGCCAAAAGTTTCCCGCCCAAAAGAGTTTCCAATGCCTCCGGTAGATGGGGGAAGTATTAGGTACCACTGCCAGAGGAGGGGGGGACCTCTCTGACAGAAAGGGACTAACTATTAGATACCACTGCCAGTAGAAGGTTGGAACCTCGCTGGCAGAGGGGGCCTGATAGTAAGCACCAGTACCGGTAGGGTATGGAGATGGCAGAAATTAAAAGGGGGATGCACAATAGATCAGTACTGGTCGCGGTGCATGGGGAAACCCACCCCCTCAATACTGAATAACTGAATACATCAGTAGATTTTGCAAGACAACTAGGTCACAGTCTAGAAGAATGTGATCTTCACATATTGAGGCAATTAAAATCTCAGAATGTACAATTTCTTTGTGTTCCCATTTCACGATTTCCAACAAAGCCTGAAGCTATTCAACACTATTATCATCAATAAGTACTGTGATCTTACCTTAACAAGGTCATTAACATCAGAACTCTGCTCCAACACTTTCTCCCTTCGCAGAATTCTGTATCCAAAATTGACACGGCCATAGCCCCTTGAGACCCGGCCCCGGCCCCGGCCCCTAGATCTCCCTCTTCTTCTTCCAGAATGAACACCTCGACCATACTGTTGACTTTCTTCATCCATAAGGCTGTCCTCTTCCTCCATGGTGTCTAAGGCGGTCTGTGGCATGCCATGGAAAGGTAATGAAGAGTAAATGATCTGCATACATTCAAGAAACCATAACAGGTGGCTACAAACACCATCTGGTGAGGTAAGGAAGAACTGAATTTCTCAAAACATACTCTTTAAGCGAAATAAGGTTCATGTAACCAAAATCTGAATATCCTTATGCAGTATACACACAGAAATGTACAGTTTGTTGATGGAAGTTTATGGTGATGAGTGCCTATCTTTCTGAATGGTTCAAAAGATTTAAAGTGGGGAGGGGGGAAATCAAAGATGATCTGCATCCTGGTTGGCCTTACACATAAAGAACAGATGCTAACATTAAAAAAGTCGGTGGAATTGTTCGAAAGAGTCATTGCCTGAGCACTCAAGCAGTTGCTGAATTAGCTAACATTGATAAAGAAAGTGTTTGACAGATTTTACATGAACATTATAGCATGAAAGAAGAGTGCTCAAAGATGGTGCTGAGAATTCTCACTCTTGAGCAAAAGGAAACTTGAATGAACATTTCTGCTGACATCCTTCAAAGCACCGAAGACGATCCAAATTTTTTGGGAAATGTAATCACTTGTGATGAATCATAGTTTTTTTCAGTATGACCCGGAAACTAAGGACCAATCAATGCATTGGAAGAGACCCAGGTCACCAAGGAAAAAAAAAAGCATGGAAGAGCAAGTTGAAATTCAAAGCAATGATGGTCATTTTTTCGATGCCTGAGGGACTGTTTACAATGATTGGGTGCCCAAAGGTCAGACAGTTAACCAGGTTTGACATCTTTCATGAACGGGTGAGAAGAAAAACTCCGTGGTTTTAGTCTGCAAGTGAACTATACCCACCAAGCGACCGCTGCTTGTCAGCGAAGTAGGAGCCAACTTAAGCAGATAGTGTGTGTTGTGTGTTCTGTGCAACAAATCCTCAGCAGATAGAGTGTGTCGTGTGTTCTGTGCAACAAATCCTCACAACTGTTAATTTTGCGTTTCTAGACTGGAGCCACTATTTCCTTGAAATAGCTCCTCAATTATCCTCATGAGGGTGAGTGGAGCCCATTCCAGACCCACTACTTCTCAGAGAATCTGGTAGTGCTAGGACTCGAACCTGGACCTCTGGCTCTGTAGCCTGGCACTCTGACCACTAAACTGCAGAGGGGGCCAATGCATTACAAAATTAGTGAAAAATTATTTAAAGTGACCTAATCCTTCTGGCTTCACTAGGCCCTGGGGTTTACTCAGCCTCTAACAGAAATGAGTACCAGGAATTAATTAAATAATTTTCCTGGGGAGTGAAGTGCGGCCGGCGCGTAAGGCTGACAACCTTACCGCCATCTTTGAGCCGATTGTCAAGGTAATGTGGGACCCTTAATGTCTCACAACCCTATGGGCCTTCGCGGTCTGTTACAGGGATAGCTTTACTTTTTTTTTTTTATTTTACTGAAAAAAAAAATCTGATTTTCACCAGTGATATAGGTAACTTGTAATGCATTCTGCACACCACACAGTTCCACTCTTTCTGAAACACTGCCTGACCACAGTTTTACAATGCTTCTGGTGATCACATGTTCGGACAAATACATATCCTGTATAAAGAATGTTATGAATGCAAGGATTCAATATCTAAATCCAATATTTTAGTACCGCCATGACATCTACTGTTGCCTCAAATTCATGATTTCATGACTGTATCATTTGTTCTCATCTGAAACATCATTTAACAACCCAAGAATTAACCAACACATCATTATTCTTAATGCAATAAAGTTCATTCTGAAAGCACTCCATCAAAGGCAGGGGCACATGGTTTACAAGTCAATTATATTCCTCCATTCCAAACATTATCAGTTGTCAAGCATGCTGAGTCATTGACAAAACTCACATACGTCCCACAGCATGCAGCACACTGGTTGTTGCAAAGTGCAGAGCCGTGAATTTGTCAAGCCAATTAAAATACTCCCTGTAGAATACGATAAACACATTGGCACGATAGACAGGTCTGATATAATGATCACCTTCACAGAATGCATAAGAAAATCACTGAAGCAGTTAAAGAATTTGATTTTTCATTTATTTGACCTTGCCCTTCTGAATTCACAGACTGTCTACAGTGTGAAAACAGGCAGAAATATTTAAAAGCTCCTAATTACTGTAGAGAGCCTGGCAGAAAGAGTGAAGTGTTTCTAAAATGAAATAATGTTTTACAAAAGCAAAGTACTTCATTTTGAACATAAACTATTTCTGTATTTCTGACAATTTCTTTATGGAAAACACATGCTTTAATTGACAAGCAATGTGCTGAATGTGAACACACACACTAACTTAGAACCTCTGCCTGATTTTGCAAAGTGTTTCTTCTGGAAATGTTCTCTCACAGATTCTCACTTTTAGTTCACCTATTATCTTCTGGCTCATGACAACACACCTCACTTATTAGTGTTCCCAATGAAAAGAAGTTGAGAGCAGTCAGATTTGGTGAATGATGATGTGAGGACATACCATCTGCTGAGGAAACAAACTGTCAATTCTTGCCACTTGGGCCTTAGCACCATCTTTCTGAACCACAAGTTTTCCATGCCCTACACTTCTGCAAGACATACATAAAGCTTAAGTGTGTTTACATCTGACCTGCTTCAAATGTGACTGATGGACATTCACACATTTTCAGGCATGTGAAACAAACAATGTCAGCCTGGTGGCATCTTACAAGTTACGGGATTATTTGAGCCATTCTGTGATCCAGTGATGTGCTACATCTGAAGAAGGGACTTCCAGTTGAGTAAATTACCACTGAAATATTCCTTACAATTCTGTAATGGACCCTGTTTGAATAAAAAGTTTGGAAACATGAATACACACACAAGCATGTGCATATATATGCTACAGACTAACATGCACACACACACACACAGACAGACAGACAGACAAATACAAACATGCCTAGAAAATTATATAACTATATATTACTGCCCACGTAACAAGGTGAACTGAGCTATAAAGTCACTGGTACAAACATCTCACACACACACTGTAGCACAACCTGGCAGAGATACGCATACTTCTAAAAGGCTTCCCTGTTTCTGCAATTTTCCTTTTCTATTCACTATCATTGTTATAACCTGATTCTACCTTCAAAACGCTGCCATCTTCTGATCTCTGCTCCAATTCTCATTCCTTCTGCAGAACTTGGTGTGCAGAACTACTGTGACTACAGCCCCTTGAGCCATGACCCCTAAGTCTACCTCTTTTCCTCCCACAGTGAAGAGCTCAGCTTCCTCCTTAAGGCCAGCTCATCCCGAGTGGTTCACTGCTAAAGTGCTAGGACATCCTGATGTATAGCAATCACCCAAATTATTTTTTATTCTCTCTCTCTTCAATTCACTCTCGCTTGGGAGGCCGGTGCTTCTATGTTTACGGCTCCTCCTCTGTTTCATGCTTCTTCTTTTTCCATTTTGGAGGGGGTCGACCCCTCCACAAGGTCCAATCCATGTTTCTATGTAATCCGCTGGAAGCCTTGTGCATTTGTTTCGTGATTTTCGAACCAGAGATCTCATATAAGATTTTCTTCAGTGTTCCTCCGTTTCCCAGAAGTGTTTGATCTATTGGGCTTCACTTCTGGATTGCTCGCTCAGCCATGGCCCTGGTGCAGTTTCTCCCAACCTCAGGTTTCGTGTGCACTGAGGCTGGCTTCTTCTCTTCCGGGCATGCCTCCATCTCTTGGCAGACCACTGTCTTGTGGCTGGGGTCAGTCTCTTCTAGCCTGGCGGTCATCATTTTCATCATTTCTTTTAGTTCTCTTTGACTGGCTTGCTTTTCCTCCCGATCGATATCCCTATTGGCCTTCGCCTTTTCTTGGTTGGCATCCAATTTTGCCAGCATTTCTTCTTTGTTGGTCCTCAGTTCTTTCAGCAAGAATTCCATTATCTGCTGTGCTTCCATTTTTGTAGGACAACGTTGCAAATACACACTTCAGTTTTCAGTCCAATAATCCCTTCAGTCAATGAACTCCGACCAAACTGTGGCGTGTCTAAGTTCATAACCATTTCTGACACCAGTTGTCGAGTGTTGGCTGTATGTGATGCGACAAATAACTTCACTCGAGTTTTGGATCTAGCGATTATTTATCGCACACTTTTATCTACACTTACTTACTTATAAAATTCACAATTTCATTGTCCCAATTACTTCTCCTGCGTTCAACTGTCTTGATTCCATTTACTTGATACAGCTCAACAACTCATAACTGCTAGACTTCAACTGAATACTGAATCAACATTGACGAGTACTCTCGTTATGTACTGCAGTAAAAAAAGAAAATAATAATAATAAAAAAATAACAAAGGCTAATGCCACCCTCCAGTATATGACTCTTCATTGTGCTTAAGGTTCACAAAGGGGACTGACACCAAAGGTGGTATACTGGATATACAATGCAGTGGTAAGACCCATAATCAACTATGCCACCACTATATGGTGGCCTAGAGTTAAACTCAGGACAAGTCAGGCAGAACTTAGCAAATTGCATACGACAGCCTGCTTGGGAATTACGGGAGCAATGAGAACAGTTCCAACAGCTGCAATGGAAATCCTACTAGGACTCCCTCCACTGCATTTGCAGATGGAAGCAGAGGCCAAGTTAGGAAATTACAGATTATGTTGCAATGATCAATGGAGACCTAAATCCGAAGGTTTTGGACACGCATACATGACTCAGGACATGAAAGAGAACCCATCCTACAGATGGGATCTGATAAAATGCTACTGAAACATGTTTATGATACACCCTTCACGATCAGATTTCCTGATAGAAGGGAATGGAAAGAAGGGTTTAAACCTGATAGAAAGGGGGGACTAATCTGGTATACAGATGGTTCCGGGACAACTAAAGGCATTGGAACTGGTTTGTATTGTGATGGAACGAGGCTGAAGCATACCTTCAGCCTTGGTCAGTACACAACAGTATTCCAGGCAGAGCTGTATGCTATTAAGGCATGCACAGTTGAGAATTTAGATAGGGACTACAGAAATAGGAACATCTATATTCTATCAGACAGTCAAGCTGCAATTAAAGCACTTGGTACACACCAAATCACTTCAAAATTGGTTTGGGACTGCCACCAATCCCTCATACAACTGGCCAGACATAACAGAGTACAACTGATATGCGTGCCATGTCATGAGGGTATTGTGGAGAATGAAACCGCAGATCAACTGGCAAGAACAGGATTTGAACAGCCGTTCATAGTACCTGAACCAGCTTGCGGTATCTCAATTGGAGTTGCCAAGAAAGCTATCAGGGAATGGACTAACATAAATCACAAAAAAACACTGGGATTCCATAACTGGACTCAAACAGGCAAAAGGATTTATATCAGGACCCTCTGCCAAAAGATCGAGGGACCCGTTAAAATTAAACAGAGATCAACTCAGATGGGTGGTAGGATTATTTACTGGACACTGCCACCTAAAAGGACACCTTTCCAAACTGGGACTGACAGAGGATCCAACTTGTGAGAGGTGCTTACAAGATGAATCAGCCAGATACATCTTATGTGATTGTGAGGCTATAGCTTATTTAAGATATCGCCACCTGGGTCAATTCTTCATGGAACCAAGTGACTTTTATGATGCCCTCATAAACAAATTCCCACATTTCATTCGAAGTGTAGGATTAATAAAGTGTTAATCCAAACGGGAAGCACAATAGCCCATTCAAGGCTGCAGTGCTAGGGCCAGTTTTATGGCTCACCCCTCATACTCATACTCATACTCATAAGGTACACATAACGTAAATTTGAATGGATCTATTATTTTCTTCATCCACACTATAGGCACTATCCATCTCATTTGCTTGCTTCAGTTATTCTAACGATAACAGAAGCTACAAACTCTGACACTACTAACTGGTGTATTTTATTCTATTCGCTTTCATTACCATCATTACAACATAATGATCTTACCTGCACAGTGCTGCTATCCTCAGAGCTCTGCTCCAGGTCTCTGTCCTTATTCAAAACATGTTGTGCAGAACTGCTGCGACCACAGCCCCTTGAGCCATGACCCCTAGGTCTCCTCCCTCTTCTCCTCCCAGAGTAAAGAGCTCGCCCATACTGTGGCTTGATCACGTCCTTCAGGAAGTTGATATCAGTCTCCATACTGTCCATGCAATCTGAACTTGCACTGGGTTTTGCATCTCCATCAGGTACTCTAAAAGATACAGCATTCGCTCCAATCTGAAATTCACAAATCATTACAAGAGTTGACATTTGAACTATATCATGAGACAGCATACTTTCACAACCATCACAATTTGTTCCTATAAAATATACTGTCGCGTGCTGGCCATATGCGACACGACAAATAACTTCACTCCAGTCTTGGATCTAGTGATTATTTATTGCACACTTTTATCCACACTTACTTACTTACTTACATAATTCTCAATTTCATTGTCCCAATTACTTCTCTTGCTGTAGTCATTTCCAGCCTTCAACTGTCTTGATTCCATTCACTTGATACAACTCAACAACTCATAACTGCTAGACTTCGCCGGAATACTGAATCAACATTGACGAGTACTCTCATTATGTAACTTCAGCCCTGACCACACAGAAAACGTGTTCACTGATTGCTTAGCAACAGTCGCTGCATGGGCTCCCCTGTTGCGTGACGTCACAGCCTAGCAGGGAGGGATGTTTACCGAGTGCTGTTACGCAATGAACGCTTGTTGCTACGGATATTCCTACCTATAACATGCCACAATACTTTAACCCTTATCGTCCCTACGTCTCACTGAGGTGAAAGTGCCTTCATGGATTCTGTGGGCCCATGTAGGACCAGCATAGCATTGTACCGATATAAACACCGTTACCACCAATTTACAAATAGGCCACCAGCATAGTGGTAACAAGAGATTTCACTCCTAAATTCCTTTACTGCCACCAGGTGAGTACCCAATTGCAGTTAAAAAGAAAATAATAATAATAATTCAATTCAATTCAATTCAATTCGTGTTTATTTATGTGCACTGAGCAGAAGGACAGTGTTTATTACAGGGACAAACACCAAACAATGAGAAGTCCCTAAGATTGCTGGGAGGAACATGAAGGCTAACATTTTCCAAAAGAGAAGTGCAGGATTTAAGACCACGAAAGACCTGAACAAGAAAAAGTGCATCAAGGTGATGTTTCCGTTTATGTAAAGATTGCAGACTTAATTTCTCTCCAAACTATCGAGGCATATTCCAACTTGGACCTGACTAAAGTAAAATATAGTACATACAGACTCTCCATGGAGGAAAACCTGTAGGTAATGGAGTGAATAAGGTCTAAAAGCTTTATGCATTCAGAAAATATGTAATTAACATGTGTGTGAAAATGTAACTTTGAATCAAAGAAAACACCCAGGTCCTTAATACTGCTGGTGCGTGTAATGATAGCATGACAAAGCTGATACGCGTAGCTCAGAAAATTTGTTTTCTGGTGTATGATACAACACACGTTTTAGCAATATTAAGTTTTTTTGGAGTTGGCAGTACACAGTCACTTATGGAATTAATGTCAGATTGAAGTAAGAGGCAATCATGTTAATAACGCGGAGAATTTTTAGATCATTGGCAAAAATTAGAAATTTACAATAGTTAACGGAGTCACACAGGTCATTTATAAATACGTTGAAAAGAAAAGGCCCCAGAACAGAGCCTTGCGGCACTCTGGACGTTACATGAAAAGGAAGGGAGAGTGTCCCAGAAAAGCGAACCTGACATTGTCTGTTGGCTAAGTAACTGCGAAACCAGCTAACATAAGCATCAGAGAATCCAAAGGAGCTTAATTTATGCAAGAGCATATTATGAGGGATGAGGTCAAAAGCATTAGAAAGATCAAACTAGAGGGCATCAGCTTGACGTTGATGATGATAATAATAAAAAGTAACAAAGGCTAATGCCACCCTCCAGTATGACTCTTCATTGCACTTAAGGTTCACGTAACTACAATATGAATGGATCTATTATTTTCTCCATCCATACTATATGCACTATCCATCTCATTTGCTTGCTTCAGTTATTCTAATGATAACAGAAGCTACAAAATCTGACACTACTAACTAGCGTATTTTATTCTAGCCGCTTTCATTATCATCATTACAACATAATTATCTTACCTGCACAGTGCTGCTATCCTCAGAGCTCTGCTCCAGGTCTCTGTCCTTATTCAAAACATGTTGTGCAGAACTGCTGCGACCACGGCCCCTTGAGCCACGACCCCTAGGTCTACCTCTTCTCCTCCCAGAGTAAAGAGCTCGCCCATACTGTGGCTTGATCACGTCCTTCAGGAAGTTGATATCAGTCTCCATACTGTCCATGCAATCTGAACTTGCACTGGGTTTTGCATCTCCATCAGGACCACTGTCAGGTACAGCATTACCTCCAATCTGAAATTCACAAATCATTACTACAGTTGACATTTGAACCATATCATGGGCTAGCATACTTTCACAACAATCACAACTTGTTCCTTCAAAATATACTGTCGTGTGTTGGCCGTATGTGACACGACAAATAATTTCACTCCAGTCTTGGATCTAGCGATTATGTATTGCACGCTTTTATCCATACAACTCAACAACTCAACAACTCATAACTGCTACTTAGCCGCTGGTGGTTTACAGCCTATCAATTCGTCTTGGCGTCAGGACCGGTCAGGACCCATGAGGCCCATGACCAGAGATTAATTTTTTCAACTTAACTCTTGTGGTACTAGTCCTTATGTAACATCCTCTCTGACGAAATGATGGGTCTGTCTTTTATGAATATGCTTGACCTTTCGTCAAGTGTATATTTCACACACATATAACATGTTATCGACAATTCTTCCTTTTGAACTACCTGATGAGTACTCTCTTTATGTAACTTCCGCCTGTAATTAAAGTAAAGCTATCACTGTACCAGGCCGTGAAGGCCCATAGGGTTGTGAACCGTGCAACGGTTCTTCTCCGCCAAGATCTTTGGTCTACGAACTCTTCCCTGCTCTCCGAACACCATTGCACGAGCCCGGCTCTCTCTCTCTCTTTCCTATCGATATCTTTGCCGACGTCCCATCACGTGTTACTTTCCCTTCCCCCTCTCTAATGTCTACTGGTCATCGCGGTAAGGCCGTCATATGCGGGCATATGGAGGTGTTCTTTTATCTCTTGGATTCGGCGCTAGTAACATCGCTAGCCACTAAATCATATTTTTGGAACGATTTAGTTGAGTTTGTCAAAATTCTGTTTCTGCACGCAGTACGAATCAACGGGGGAGGAGCTGCCCTCACGACTAGTCGGGGTTGGCTGGTTCGTTGAGGTAAAACTTTGAGTTTCTTTCACGAAACAGAGTAAGTGACTTACTTGATTTCGTACGCCACGAGGCGAGTTAAGGTAGGCGTACATCTGCCGTCATCGGACGGACGGCACGGATCGGACGGATCGGAATTTTTTGTGCGACTGCGCACACCAGATTCGGAGCATCCGCATTTCCGACAGGTGGTCTTGCCTTCAAGAAATGCTCAGTTCATAGCGTAACATCGTTAAGTGAAGTTCATCTTCTTGACTATTCTTTGAAATTTGTTTATTGATTATCGTGAACAGTTATGGATAGTGAGGAAGAAGTTGTAGTAACAAGTTGCTTGCTGGCAGAGGAACAGAAATATTCAGGGTGTCTCAAATTGTACAATTCTTCATATTCTTGCACAATGACAATCAACTGAGCTGAATCCATTGGTAAATTCACCAGTTGTAAGCACATTGAATGAAAACGAACTAACAGCTGCTAACGGCGTCAGAGGTGAAATCCCGAACACGTCATCCGCTCCGTACGGCCTAATCGGATTGCCTGCCCCTCTCGGGAATACCCGTCGGCGTTGCCGAACTCCGATACGTACGATGCGGACAAGTGAGCGCAGGCTCATTTGACACGATGTATGTAATAATAAAATCCGATCCGTCCGATGACGACAGGTGTGCGCCTACCTTAGAGTTTGATTTGCACGCCATGGGGCGTGGCTTACCTTGATTTTGTACGCCGCGAGGCGTGGTTTAATTCTGTTTCAGTCATTGAGTGTAATAACCTGTGATTGCCCTTCAGGCGTGTTTTTGACATATATTACTCATGTTATTAATATATTTCTATGTTTTGGAAAGGCTGGTTGAGTTATATGTACAGTGTCACCATACACCTTCCATGGTAGAACTCCTGCCTAGTCGATCCGCCCAGCTTGGCCTGCCGTACTGTCCTTGGTGTTTCTCATACGGCACCACGCCAACAAGCAAGTCGTGCCTTATGAGCCTGTTCCTTTACCGCCAGGGTAAAGGCGGCTCAAAGTGGTAGCAGAGCGTGGTTAACGAAGTCTTCTTTGGTATTTCGGTGTTTCGACCAGCCTTTGGGTCGGTTTCATCAGGACTTGCTTGTTGAAGTGTTGGATTGGCTGTGGACTGATATATATATATATATATATTGTGTTTGTGGTGTTCTGTGCTGTTGCTATGCCACTTGTATGGATTCACAACCTTCCGAGAGAGGAGGCCGAGAAGCTGGCGGNTATGACGAATATATATTTTAGTTATTTTAGTATAAAGACAACAGGGCATGCAATGAAGTAGTTCGACGTACATCGAAAAGCACCTGAATATGGCACTTTAGTGCCGAAACATGTAGTGCAAGAGAGAAGAGTAAGGTGAATAAATGTTTGCACTGTAAGACGGTCAGAATAAATCATTGACATAATTAGTGGACATTTGCGTGTATTTTCTAGCTGGGAGTTGGTTTGCTCGGATATCCTGTCTGTATTCCTTCCTCCTCGCATCCGAGAGAGTCTCGTGTCAAAGTATGTTTTGGACCGGTTTCAAGGTCACACAGAATACTTTTCTAAATTCGTTGCGTCTGTAGTGAGTGCCGCTGGTATCCTTGAATACCAAGTTTCTGAGCCGGCATTAGTCCGTCGTATTGTCCAGAATATTCACCCCAACGCGCGTTCTTGGTTGACGTTTGAGGCTGAACCGAAATCTGTAGAAGAGCTGTATATTCTCGCGAGTCGTGTTGCTGAAGCCCGTGGTGTTGAGCAGCGCAGTCCTGAGCTTCGTGTTCCCATAGTGAAAGTTTCGTGGGACGAGCGCGATAAGTGTCCAATTAGTATGGTTGCGAGGGAGAGCCCTCGGCCGTGTAACCGGGAGATCAGATGTTACAAGTGCACCCGAGTGGGTCACATTGCAAAGAATTGTTCGTCTTCCAACGCCCCTGTTGTAAGGAGGCAGGGAAACGGGGGAGGCGCTCGGAGGTGAAAGATCCTCTGGAGTTCGAGCGCCTGAGAGTGAGAGGTCTGCTCAGCGAATTTTGCCTGGAAAAGCTGGTAACCATTTCCCATGGGTGATGTTGACCATCAAAAATTATTGTATGCCAGCCATCTTGGATTCGGGTTCGTCGTTTTCCTTCATCAGATGAGACGTTTTTCAGCAGATTCAGAGCCTAGGTTTGCCGTGTGTAATAAAGGAGGCAAACATGGCTAGTGGCCACAGCCGTGTGATGAAGGAGGCCGTCTCGTTGCAGTTGAAAATTCACTCTTTCTCTTGGAAGTACGATTTCTTAGTGTTTGATAATTCTCCCGTGCCCTGCATTTTAGGACTTGACTTCCTGTCTTTCGCGAAAATGCGGCTTGATTTTGCGACGTCATTTTCCTTTGCATTTGAAAAATCGCGTCAGTATGATTTTGTACCAGTGGATGTACGGAAGAGGCCTGGAAAGGAGTAGTAGCGAGTACCTGCTCATTGTGTTTCTGAGTCGCGTAAGCTTGATCAGTTGGTGCGAGATTTTCCGAAGTTGTTTTCTTACCAGCTAGGTACGGTGAAGGGCATGGTGTGTCAGCTTGATTTGATCGATTACGTACCAGTTCGTTTCCGGCCTTACCAATGTTCACCCCACCGTTTGCAAGCCCTACGTGAGATCGTTCACGATTTGTTGAACAAGGGCGTGGGGAAGAAAAGTTTTCCCCAGTATGCGAGTCCGGCCTTCTTAGTCCCTAAGTCTCAGGGCGGATATCGAATGGTAGTAGATTATCGACTTCTTAACCAGAAGGTCGTGTTTGATGCATTTCCTATGCAGAGTCTAGAGCATGCGTTTGCAAATTTTCAAGGAGCGAAGGTTTTCTCCATCTTGGACCTAAACTCCGCGTACTACCAGATTCCGTTGTCCGCTAAAAGCCGTAAGGCTACAGCCTTCTGCACTCCATTTGGATTATTTGAATTCACTAAGTTGCTGATGGGCATAAGTGTAGGGTGTCAAGTGCTTTCGCGAGTGATCGACTCGTTGTTTGGAGATCTGAAACGTAAGTACGTCTATAATTTCATGGATGATTTGTTGGTATATTCGCGTTCTATGGAGGAACACGTAGGCAATCTGAGGGAAGTGTTTGGTCGCCTGGAGAAGGCGGGTTTCACGTTGAACCGTGAAAAGGTTCATTTGGCGCAATCGGAGATAAAATTTTGGGGGCATTCTCTATCTGAAGAAGGGATCCAAATCTTGCTGGAGAGAGTGGATGCGATTGTTCAATTCCCTCCTCCGAAGAATTTGAAAGCAGTTCGCAGTTTTCTTGGCATGGCCGGATTTTATGCAAATTTCGTGAAGGATTTTTCGAAATTGGCCGAGCCACTCCACGCGCTGAAGCGTAAAGACGCCACATTCGTGTGGGGCGAAGCTCAAAGGAAAGCTTTTGAGCAGCTAAAAGGAGCTATTTCTACATCCCCTCTTTTGCAAGTTGCAGACTCTTCAAAGGAGTTCGTGTTGGTCTGTGATTCTAGTGACGTTACCATTTCGGCCGTCCTTAACCAACGGTGAGAGGAAGGGTTAGCTCCTATTGCTTTCGCCAGTCGTCTATTGACGGCCGCGGGGCGTAAATACTCGATTTACGAGAAGGAATGTCTGGCCATAGTTTGGGGATGCGAACGGTTTCGCGTCTATCTCGAGCATAAGGAGTTTACTCTCCATACGGATAATCAGGCCCTATCTTGGTTACTGAAACGTGTAAAGGAACTAGGCCGTGTAGGAGGTGGATTTTGCGACTTGCCCCGTATAAGTTTAATGTAGTTCATATCCCGGGGAAGATTAATGTGGTCGCTGACTGTCTTAACTCGTCAGTATGAAGATGCGCCCGTGCAGTCCTTTTTGGGGCTAATTCTCCAACACTTACGGCGGCGTTTCAGTCAATTAGACAGCACCAAGTTAAAGTTGAGTATTGTAGAACGGTGTATGAAAAGATTAGGCACCAAGATCCTCAGGTTCGAAATTTCCAATTTGTGAACGACACGATTGTATTTTTCCCCGAGGTCTAAGTCGCATAGGTATCTGGTTCTGCTGGATTTGCGAGCCATGATACTCGAGTATTTCCATGATTCAGCGTTGAGTGCGCACCTGGGAGTAGCCAAGATATTACATCGCATAGATAAAGTATTCTATTGGCCGATTCTTCGACCGGATGTAGTGAGATATGTGAGGCAGTGTAAAGGGTGTCAGAGGGCAAAGCCAGCTCAAAATACTCGGGTTGGCCTTCATGACAGCCAAGTCGTAACTAAGCCTCTAGAACGAATCTTTATTGATTTTGTGGGACCCATTGTGCGGAATCGTCGTGGTAATGTAGCCATATTGGTTGTCTTAGATGGATTTTCAAAGTTCGTCACAATGTACCCTGTGA